CGCTAAGAGATCAATATGCGCATGATCAGGTTGGAGAGGTTCGGCGAAAAAAGTGAACTGGTTGGCGCACGTTCCATTCCAGGAAGGAAACCTTGATGTCAGGAAAGGAGGAAGCGTCCACCTCGTCAACTGTACCTTCTTGCCCCGTGTTGCATGTCTGTGAGACATGATCACTCAACCGAGGCTAAAGAGCGCTAGCTGTCTGGCTCTGAGAGTGCCATGGAAAAACGAATGTTGAGAATGTTACGTGGCGACCAAAAATCTTTAGAAACATAATGCGCAAGAAGATGAAAAGAACGCATATTTTTGGCTGACAGTGACAAACGGTGCCATCAATTGGTGGCAATGAAGAACCCGTCGCTGTCACTAACAAATTGGCACATTTCAAGAATTTGATCAAGCTCATCTGTTTTGTTCATTCTTATTATTCAACGTTTTTCATTATGATTTAGTCTTTCCGTTGAAACCGCATAATTTTGGCAACGTTCTTACCCTTGGTGTTTGACAATAAACCATTGTACATTAGCCAATTGAGAATTTATGATGAAGTTGAATAGGAAGTCAGTAGGTAGTTGATTTATTCGTCCTTCATCTTTTATAGCCCATTATTTTTTCTTAGTGGCGCGTGTAGCAGCTTTGCGGCTGCAGCTTCGAGTGGTTTCTTCAGTGGTACCGTTCCTTTGCCAATCGTGCAAGCTTTGCGCGCTTCAGTTCTAAGCTCGACAATGCCCTTGTTTGATATATGCCAGTTATCTGACCTTCTGTTGAGTCCTTTGACCGCCTGCTAAACGGCCTTACTGGCAGAATGGGTCTTTGCAAGCCTTTCCTCGATCATCCTGACCGCATTTGCTAAAAGGATTTATTTTTTACCTTTTATGTTGCGTTTTAGTCAGCAGGTGGGCGGTGGCTGGCGGCGCACGCGTCAGATAGCGTAAGTCTCACACCCTTCGGTATGACCACCCCATAATGCTGTGCAGGTCAGCGAATTTCTAGCGATTTCTTGGCTGGCTGCCCCGAAGCGCAGTGAAGGAGGATTCATTTATCGACGCAGTTAACGGCTTGTAAGTAGACTTACAC